GGGTGGTCAGGGGACAGGGAGAAGGGGTGGTTGGATAGGGCAGGGTCCCGGGGGGGGGGCCGGTCAGGAATGAGAGGAGGGAGTTGGATGGGGTGGGCGGGAGTCCGGGGGCAGTCAGGGGACAGGGAGCGGGGCTGTGTGGATGGGGCAGAGGTCCCAAAGGGGCCGTCAGGGAACCGGGGGAGTTGGATGGGGCAGGAGTCCCGTGGGGCGGGAGGGCAGATAGGAGGTGGGGGCCGGGCCACGACCCCCTCCCCTAACCGGCCCTCCATACAATTTCCAAAACCCGACACAGCCCTCAGGCCAAAAAATTTGCCCGCCCCTCCTATAGCAGCTTCTCCGCCCCAGACTCCAAAGCACTTTCCAAAGGGGGGAGGGTCAGGGACTTTCTCGCTATGATACAAAGGGGGGGCAGCGAGAAGAGGGGCAGAGCCCCGCCCGAATCACACAGTGAGTCTGTGGCAGCGCCAGGGATGGGTTCTGGATGCTGCCAACCCCAAGACCTTCTCTCCTCTCCTGGAAATGTCTGTAAATCCCCTCCCCCATGCTGAGGCCCCGCTCACACCAGCTTAATGGGTTACTGGGGCCAGGGGGCTTGTGGGGCTCTCAGCCCTGGGGGGAATTTGACTCTCAGGGCAGAGAAACAGTTTCTCCCTGTAAAGTGCCTGGGGAGACACTTTCCTCCTGTGGCCACCTCCCAGCAGGGGCCACTGTCCCGGCTGGGGGGGACGGGGGAGACGGCCGCTGCTGTCTGCACAAGAACCCGAGTGTCTGAAATTCCCCTAAATCCCAGAGGCTCCCTGGTGATACCCTGCAGAGCAGGAGGCTCCCGCAGCCTGGGACAAGTCCTCTGACGGCCTCGTCTTTCTCTCCCTCTCTAGGGTGCCGGGAGCTGTGGGGGCAGGTAAGTCCTGGGCTCTGTCTCACTCCCCTCGTGGTGTGTTAGGTCTGGTAACTGCACTGAATACGGAGCTTCCCCCAGCCCCTGCAGTGTGATGCCGGCTTAGAGCCTGTGAGTCTGTCTCCCCTAGCGGCTGCCTCAGCAGGGGACGGACCCTGTTACTCTCGGGCAGCTGATACGGTCCCACCAGGGCTGTCAGACGTATGGGCCAGACCGGGCCTGTCTGACATATTTATGTAGCCACATCACTTATTCACGGTGTGCAGAATCTCAGCCTTCCATTTTTTTTTTAAAGTAAGTTTCTAGCCTTCCTGGTTACAAAGAAACCCTCCCAAATAGACACGGAGACAGTGTTGCCTTCCTGAGTCTGCAGACAGCCTGAAACAGCAGCTCAGAGAAGCGTGAATGCCCTTGGCCTCCGTTAATCTCATTGGAGTGTCCGCATAGACGCTGACTTCCTTTATTCCCGGGAGGCGGGGGTGGTGCTTGATCCCAGAGTCTCCCCTTTGTGCCTGGGTGTCCTGCTGTGAATGGAGGTGTGGTGCAGAGTCTTAAATTGATGCCCTGGCTCCCTGACTGTATCAGAAAGTGGAATACGGCCCTGTCCTCCAAATGAGCTGGACACCCCAGGGTTACTGCTTCAGCGGAAGGGCTCAGGGTTTTTGGTGTTAAGGGTCCACGTTCATTCCCTGCTGAAGATACGGCCTCTGTCTGTGTCCACACTGAGTATGTGGGACACACCCATTCTTTGGTCTGTGTCTCCTCCCTTTCCACGTAATCCCAGTGCTGGTGCCCCATGTTACCGGTATTTCCCAGTGTGGGAGGTGGCTGTGAACATAAGAATGGCCAGACTGGGTCAGACCAAACTGTCCATCTAGCCCAGTATCCTGTCTTCTGACAGTGGCCAATGCCAGATGCCCCAGAGGGAATGAACAGAACAGGGAATCATCAAGTGATCCATCCCCTGTCCCCCATTCCCAGCTTCTGGCAAACAGAGGCTAGGGACACCATCCCTGCCCATCCTGGCTAGTAGCCATTGATGGACCTATACGCCATTAACTTATCTACTTCTTTTTTTTAACCCTGTTATAGTCTTGGCCTTCACAACATCCTTTGGCAAGGAGTTCCACAGGTTGTGTGAAGAAATATTTCCTTTTTTTTTTTTTTTAAACTTTGCTGCCTATTCATTTCATTGGGTGACCCCTAGTTCTTGTGTTATGAGAAGGAGTAAATAACACTTCCTTATTTACTTTCTCCACGCCAGTCATGCTTTCACAGACCTCTGTGATATCCTCTCTTAGTCGTCTTTTCCAAGCTGAAAAGTCCCAGTCTGATATACCTCTCCTCATACGGAAGCTGTTCGAGACCCCTCATCATTTTTGTTGCGTTTTCCAATTCCAAGATATTTGTTATGAGATCAGGAGACCACATCTGCACAGTCAGAACACACAGAACCGGAGCGTCCCGGAGAAAGCTCCTGAACCTCTCTCTGTTCCTTGCCCTCGAGTTTCCCCAGGTCCCATCTCTCTGGGCCCATGGCGAACACAGGGCTGAAGGCAGGTGACTCCTCGTAACAGAGACAATCTCAGGCTACAAAGCTCAGATCCAGGTTTCCTGGAGTTTGGGGGTTGCTGGGCTCAGGGTCTGGGGATCTGGGCCCATTTCTCACCCCTCCTCCTTTCCCCAGCAGGGAGGACGGGGTGTTTCAGAAGCCGGAGCCGGGGTTTGCAGAGCTGGAGAAGAGACTCAGCGATTTCGCTCTGCAAAGCGCCCACCTGCAGGAGGTGCTGCTGGGATTCAAAGGTGAGTTGGAGTCTTGGGGTGGCATCTCCTCTGGTTAGAGCGACCCTCACCCTGGGGAGGAGTCGGGGACTCTAGTGATGTCACTGATCCTCGGCTCCATCTCACAGCCCAGCTCAGCGGGTCGCCCTTCCACATGGGAGTAGCCCTGTGGGGCTGGCTCTGTCTGCAGCGGCTGCGTTATCGGCCTCTGATCTCTGTCACCATCTCGTAGTTAACAGCAGTTACATTAATAAGCAATGGGGATTTCTCCATGAATGCGAGGGCCTGAATTCTCACCTCTCCCGTCTTCTGCTTCCCCTAGAGACGCTGCAACTGGAGCTGGGGAGCAACACAGGTACGTGTCTGTCTCTGACGGGCCATGGGGAGATTTCAGACCAATAACCATGTTAGTGACGGGGAATCACGGCCTCCAGCCCCAATGTGCACCTGGAAATGGTGGAACAATGTGAAGCCGGGTGACCCCCGTGACTGATTCACTCCTGCTGTGAAGCTTGACGGGGATTCAGAGAGAATCCAGATCAGGGGTGAGAAATGCTGCACTGGATCCTTCATTATTTTGTAACCCTTTTGGGGGTTACCCTGTGTTCGCCAGTCCCAGCATGGAGTCCTTCCCCACCCCCTTTTCCTAAAGGGTTATGATTTGTTCTCTTTGGGTTAAGAGTGTCTGCTCTTGGTTCAGATTCACCTTTTCCCAGAAGCTCTTCCATAGTTTCTTTCTGTGTCTCACCAGCCTGGGGAAATTCCTCCTTCCTTCCGTCAGATGGGTCATCCCCATTCTCACAGACAGCCGTTCCTTCAGTGGGATCGGTATCCTCTCTTAAAGAGACACAGTTAATTTCCACAAACGTATAGGAACGGCCGTACTGGGTCACACCAAAGGTCCATCTAGTCCAGTATCCTGTCTACCGACAGTGCCCAATGCCAGGTGCCCCAGAGGGAATGAACAGAACAGGGAATCACCAAGTGATCCATCCCCCGTCACCCATTCCCAGCTTCTGCCAAACAGACGCTAGAGACACCATCCCTACCCATCCTGGCTAATAGCCATTGATGGACCTGTCCTCCATGAACTTATCTAGTTCTTTTTTGAGCCCTGTTAAAGTCTTGGCCTTCACAACATCTTCTGGCAAGGAGTTCCACAGGTTCACTGTGCGTTGTGTGAAAAAATACTTCCCTTTGTTTGTTTTAAACCTGCTGCCTATTAATTTCATTTGGTGACCCCTAGCCCTTGTGTTATGAGAAGGAGTAAATAACACTTCCTTATCTACTTTCTCCACCCCTGTCATGATTTTCTAGACCTCTATCATATCCCCCCGTCTCTTTTCCAAGCTGAAAAGTCCCAGTCTTGTTAATCTCTCCTCATACAGAAGCCGCTCCATACCTCTAATAATTTCTGTTGCCATTTTCTGAACCTTTTCCAATTTCAATATACCTTTTTTGAGAGGTGGCGACCACATCTCCACGCAGTATTCAAGGTGTGGGCGTACCATGGATTTATATAGAGGCAATATGATATTTTCTGTCTTATTATCTATCCCTTTCTTAATGATCTCCAACTTTCTGTTTGCTTTTTTTGACTGCCACTGCACATTAAATTAATGTTTTCAGAGAACTATCCACAGTGACTCCAAGATCTCTTTCTTGAGTGGTAACAGCCGATTTAGACACTATCGTATATCTATAGTTGGGATTATGTTTTCCAATGTGCATTACTTTGAATTTATCAACACTGAATTTCATTTGCCATTTTGTTGCCCAGTCACCCAGTTTTGTGTGGTCTCTTTGTAGCTCTTCGCAGTCTGCCTGGGACTTAACTATCTTGAGTGGTTTTGTATCATCTGCAAATTTTGCCACCTCACTGTTTACCTGTTTTTCCAGATCATTTATGAATATATTGAATAGGATTGGGCCCAGTACAGACCCCTGGGGGGTACCACGATTTACCTCTCTCCATTTTGAAAAGTGACTATTTATTCCTATCCTTTGTTTCCTCTCTTTTAACCAGTTACCGATCCCTGAGAGGACCTTCCCTCTTATCCCATGACAGCTTACTTTGCATAAGAGCCTTTGGTGAGGCACCTTGTCAAAGGCTTTCTGAAAATCTACGTACACTATATCCACTGGATCCCCCTTGTCCACATACTTGTTGACCCCCCTCAAAGAATTCTAGTAGATTGGTGAGGCGTGATTTCCCTTTACAAAACCATGTTGACTCTTCCCCAACAAATTATGTTCATCTCTCTGTCTGACAATTCTGTGCTTTACTATAATTTTAACCAGTTTTCCTGGTACTGAAATCAGGGTTACCGGCCTGTAATTGCTGGGATCGCCTCTGGAGCCCTTTTTAAAAATTGTCATTCTCCATTTGGTACAGAAGCTGATTTAAATGATAGGTTACAGACTACAGTTAGTCATTCTGCAATTTCACATTTGAGTCCTTCAGAACTCTTGGGTGAATATCATCTGGTCCTGGTCACTTCTTATTGTTTAATTTATGTTTGTTTCTCTAATGACACCTCAGTCTGGGACAGTTCCTCAGATCTGTCCCCTAAACAGAATATCTCAGGTTTGGGAATCTCCCTCACATCCTCAGCCGTGAAGACCGATGCAAAGAATTCATTTAGTTTCCCTGCAATGGCCTGATCGTCCTTGAGTGCTCCTTTAGCACCTCGATCGTCCAGTGGCCCCATTGGTTGTTTAGCAGGCTTCCCGCTTCTGATGTACTTAAAAATCTTTTTGCTATTACTTTTTGAGTCTTTGGCTAACTGTTCCTCAAATTCTTTTTTGGCTTCCTAATTGTATTTTTACACTTCATTTGCCAGTGTTCATTCTCCTTTCTATTTTCTTCACTAGAATTTAACTTCCACTTTTTAAAGGCTGCCTTTTTGCCTCTCACTGCTTCTTTTATTTTGTTGTTTAGCCACGGTGGTGCTTTTTTTAATTTGGGGTATACATTTAAATTGAGCTTGCAGGGATTTCACTTCTGGCGCTGGACCTTTTAATTTCTGTTTAACTAACTTCCTCGTTTACTTCATTTGATTCTACACTTTTGTCACATATACTGCCACTCCCCCAACAGCACGACCTGTTCTGTCCTTCCGATATCTTTTGTACCCTGGTATTACTGTGTCCCATTGATTATCCTCATTCCACCAAATTTCTGTGATGCCTGTTATATCAATATCCTCATTTAATACGAGGCACTCTAGTTCACCCATCTTATTATTTAGACTTCTAGCATTGGTATATAAGCACTTTAAAAACTGGTCACTTTTTAGCTGTCTGCCATTACATGATGGAATTGAATGGGACTTTTTTTCATTTGACTGTTTCTCATCAGATCCTACCTGTATTTGATCATCTTCCATCCTCTCCTCCTTACTAGGACATACAGAATCTCCACTAATAGGTCCTCCCCTAAGGGATGTCTCTGTCCGAACCACATCCTTCTCCGCACCTGTCGGCTTTCCCCCAGCCCTTAGTTTAAAAACTGCTCTACCACCTTTTTAATTTTAATATCAGGACCAGCATCCTAAAACACTGGGACCTGGATTGGGGTACCCTCCGTTACCCCCCTCTCTATCCCTGAGAGGTCAGTTGTGTGGTCAGTTACACCGTTCCCTCTCAAAACCTGAGGCACAGCTGAGTGCCTGGGTGCCCAGATGCTGAATCAGCCCTTCTGTCCTGGACATCCTCTCCCAAGTGACCAGTGTGGAGACATTCCTGTATTTCCACTGTTCCTTCCCTGGTTTCTTCCTCTGGACCCCCCTCTAGAGTGAGATCTGTCAGCTGCAAAACTCTGCCAGTTAGCAACTGGGACAGCTCCCTCACTGACAGCAGGCAATACACGCTCCTCCCTCCCTGAGGAGACGCTGCCTTCAGCTGCAGTGCAGGAGCTGGTCTCAACCACCTTCACACCTGGAAGCATGTGGCTTCCCCCGCTGCAGAGTAATCAAGGAGGCTTTTTCTCATTTCTTCAGTAGTTCCTGGGACTTTACCCTTTCCCTCTGGGGTCCCAGCACCATACTCCTTGTCGCAGGTAAACTGTCACGGAGCCCCCGGCCGATGCTCTGGCACCGCTCCCCACAAAGCCAGTCAGGACTTTGGGGAGCCTCCTCTCCCTCGGAGCAGACTGTCTTCAGGGCAAGAAGCTCACACGGCTTCACCTTCCTGGGTCTGACCTTGGAGCATTCAGCATCCCCTGCCCCACCGTGCGCTTCCCGCAGCGAGTAACCCGGGCGGGGTCCTGGGAAGCCAGAGGGTCCTGTCCCCCAACTCCGCAGTCAGACGTGACTCTTAGCCAGCCAGTAAAACAGAAGGTTTATTAGATGACAGGAACACGGTCTAAAACACAGCTTGTAGGTACAAAGAACAGGACCCCTCAGCTGGGTCCATTCTGAGGCCCAGCGAGGCAGACACCCACGTCTGCATCTCACTTCCCGTCCCCAGCCAGCTCCCAACTGAAACTCCCTCCAGCCCCTCCTATCTGACCTTTGTCTCTTTCCCAGGCCAGGAGGTCACCTGACCTCTTTGTTCACCTTTAGCTATCCCCTTGCAAGGGGGGAAGGGCCTCAGCCATTTGTTGCCAGGATACAGAGTGTCAGCCATTTATGCACACTGGAGACTCAAGAAATGCATAGAGGAAACTGAGGCACCCACACAGTATTCAGAGGAAACATTAAGAACAGTCCCACTTCATCACATAAACACCTTAATAGCCTGAGCTACATGATAAAAATCATTTCCAATTAACATGTCATTGGGGTTATCGTCCACCACCTCCACTGTGGTTAAACTTTCTAACCCACTAGTTTCTATGTGCGTTTTTGCCAAAGGCACAAGAATCTCCTGCTAATAAAAGCTCTGCCATCTGTCTCGGCAGTATGTCACCTTGAATTATACTCCACTTGATCGCAGAGATTTCTGCCCCTGTATCTTCCCACCCAAGGTATTCCCTGCCATTAATCCTGCCAAAATGTACTTCATGTCTGGCTCTGCAGATCTAATCCCACAAAAACACTACAATCCGTCTCAACCGCATGAGAGGTTTCTGTGTCGATGACGGCAGAACTAACATGAGATACTGGTTGCCTGGTTCCTCCCAGCACAGGGCATTTATTCCTCGGGCGATCAGTGGAATTACAGCGATAGAACCTTTTGGGCTCTTCCGTTTTCACGGGGGATTTGGGATGAGGATTAGAGGAATGGTTTTGGGGAGGTGATTGCCTCCCAGCCACCCTTTCTTCCCCAGGAGTAAAACAGGAACCCTGCTTCCCACCAGGTTTAAACCCCTCTTTCTGTGGTTTATTCACAGTAGATGCCTGGATCTGCTCAAAGGCACCAGCTGCTAGAGAAGCCATCTCTTCCACAGTCGTCACATTTTTATCCCATGAACGTTGCTGTACCTCATCTTTACATATATTTAAGGGCTGTTCTTGAGCAAACATTTCTTCAAAACGTTCCCCCCCTTTCCCAGTAAATCTTTCATTCTGTACACCTCTACCCCAATATAACACGAATTCGGATATAATGCGGTAAAGCAGTGCTCCGGGGGGGGCGGGGCTGTTATCATCTGCCTTGTTGGATGCAGGACGTAGGTGGTCCCAATTTGTGGATTTTTGCAGAGGTGAGAATCAGAGGGGTGTGTGTGGGGGTAGGGGGTGCTGGTTCTCCTTTTCTAGCAGTTCCAGTTGGTGTCTCGGCTTTCTCTCTCTCTCTTTCCTCTGCCTCCATCTGCTTCGGGGCTAAGGTTCCCTGATGTGCTTCTTCTTTCCCTTTTATCTCCAGTTCTTCCATTCTCACCTGACGCTCATAGTCTCTCTCTTTTCCTGCCACCTGCAGTCTGTACAGCTCCAACTTTGCAATTGCTTCGCTGCCTTCGGTCCTCTTTAGGCTTCCCTTTCCCAAAATAAGCAAACAGAAAATAACAAACCGGTAACCTTCTCTCAGCCACCGCACTTCAAATCTCTACACCCGTGTCTGAAGTGCAAATCTCCCTCAGAACTACAAGTGGTGCATTTCATCCTGCTTGCTGCACCACTGTGATGGGATCCCCGGTGTACAACCTGGAACCGGAGTACCACAGTGACCCGTTAACTCTCCAGCCTGGGTTGTCTCTCTCAATGCTTTGCTAGTGACAAGCAGCAAAACCCCTCCTAGTTCTGTGATCACTCAGCATGTGGAGCCCCACACCCAGCTAGATTGCATGAATGCTCCCAGAGCCACTCAGGAATCACACAGAAAGGCACCGGCCAATTTCCCCCAGCCTTGCACCGCAGAGCTGTACTGTCTTGCCCTGGTCAGAAACCTGACCTGTGTACGTTTGTTACCCAATCTCCCCTTCCTCAATGTGGAGAGGGCAGGCAGCAGCCTTTATAAACCGAGTTGAGATTTCCGAAGCACTTCAAGCAATATATGCCGTTTTAGGGAAAGTATCCAACAGATTTATTAACTACAGAAAGATTGATTTTAAATGGGAGGCATAAAAGGTCAGAGATAGAGTATCATCAGGGTGGGAAGGGATCTCAGGAGGTATCTAGTCCAACCTGCTGCTCAAAGCAGGACCAATCCCCAGACAGATTTTTACCCCAGTTCCCTAAATGGCCACCCTCAAGGATTGAGCTCACAACCCTGGGTTTAGCAGGCCAATGCTCAAACCACTGAGCTATCCCTCCCCTGATAGTTACCAAAGAAAATAAAAGGTAAGTGCGCAATCTAAATCTTAATCCTTATTCCACTAGGCAGCATTTCAATCAAGCAATTTTTTCACCCCACTGGATGTTACGGTTCTTAATACAGAGACTTCTCCCTTAAGCCTGGGACCAGTCCCCTCAGATGAAGTTTTTGTCTTCTCAGCGTTCTTGTTGCTTCCGGCATAGGTGGGGGAGGAGAAAGGTCCAGTCACGATGACACTGTCCCTTATTTTATACCCTCGGTCCACGCGCCTGGAAAATACTAGCCCAGACATGTCCTGGGGGGGTTTGCTGAGTCACAGAGTTGAGGAATCCCCCTGGTGTGATCTTGAGCAACTGAGACATAGAGTGGAGCAGTCCCCATTGTGTGGTGCTCGTTGACTTGTAAATCCCTTGATGACCGCTCTCCTGCTGAGCTGATCAATAGTCACTGAACACCCACCTGGGCAGAGATTCCCCCCCTTGGTAGCAGAGACGCTCAAACGTACGCCGTATTTCAGTAACAAAAGCTCATAACTTCCTACACACGAACAATATACCTATTTGGACAGCACCGTGGGTTTCAGGAGATCACGAGCTTTCAGAGGATAACTTACGTGGCCTGCTTTGTATGAAATATCACAGCCCTATCTGAATTGTGGGTCTGAGGTTTACAGGATGTGACTTTGAGATACAGTGGGTTTAGTCCCGGTGGGAGGGGATGGGTCTACACTGAGCTTTTTCCCATCATGAGAGTCGATGTCTATACAGAGAAAAACCCAGTGAGAATGTGAAATGCCTTAAAGTCTGATCTGAATTCCCCCCAGTAACCCTTCTCCCTCTGACAGGCTGCAGAATAACATCCGCGGGTCCCTCCAGACTCTCCCAGCCTGCCCAGGGAAGGGAAATGGATGCGGCAGAGCTGGCTGAGGTAGGGATGCTGAGGACATGATGGGGGGGGGGTCCCGTAGGAGCCAGAGGGACAGGGAATACATGGGAAGTGGGAGTTTGATCTAAGAGTGGGAGGGTGCAGGCCGTGCACAGGGTCGAGAAAGGTGGGGGGACAAGGTGTGATGGACCTGCTGGGACTTGGTAAATCTGGAGCCGGGATTCTAGGAATAGGCCCATGGGGTTTGGGTGTGGAAATCCCTCTATTTGTGGAAGAGGAACAACCCTGGCTGGGCTGGGAAAACTTCCTAGACTCTCAGTGCTGGAGGGTGAACCCACTAACCAGAGGTTGTTATGACCTATGGAGGGGACACGCAGCAGAGGGGCTTAGGGAAGATGCCCCCATCCCCTGACATCCAGCTGCTGAGAATGGGGAGGGGGTTGGGATTCCTACAAGGAGGGGCTTTATCTCCAGTTCAGACTTTGACTAGTCAGTGTGTGATGAAAGGGAAGACCCTTCCCCCACTATCTGCTGGAAGGACGAGGGGCTCTCTCTATCGCCCCTCACCCTGACGCTTCCTGGGTGCTCTGAGCTGGTGGTGGGTGGCGCTCTGTTGACTCTGCGTCCATTTGATTGGCCCTGCTACTCCATGAAGAGTGGGGCTGTGAGTGGGGCAGCAGGTACTGAGTGGGGGCTCTTTCTCTTTCAGGGGCTGGTGGCCTTCGAGGAGGTGGCTGTGTATTTCACCAGGGAAGAGTGGGCTCTGCTGGACCCCGCTCAGAGAGCCCTCTACAGAGCCGTCATGCAGGAGAACTATGAGAATGTGACCTCGCTGGGTAAGGATTCCCGTCCCCTCGGTTCTTAGAAGAGGAAATAAAAAGCTAAGGTTCATGTCACCCCCACAATGCCACCTCTACTCTGCCCTGTTTCAGCAACACCCCAACATGCCAGTGAAAAACACACCCGCACTCTGTTCTCCCCTGCTACACAACGCTCTGGGAACTGGGTCCAGGGGCAGTACAGCACAAAGTCTAACGCTTTCTCTTGGCTAAGGTAACACTTGGATTTAGGTCCAGCCTAACGAAGAGGTGCTTCCGACTCCTGGCCGGCCCTCAGATGGAGCCTATGCCACACGAACCATCACAGACTTGCAAAATATCACCCCCTCTTCACCCCTGAGGGTTAAGAATGGCCACACTGGGTCAGACCAAAGGTTCGTCAAGTCCAGTATCCTGCGTTCCATCACTGGTCAATGCCAGGTGCTCCAGAGGGAATGAACAGAACAGGTCATAGTCAAGTGATCCATCCCCTGTCGCCCATTCCCAGCCTCTGGCAAATGATTCCTTCGGCGTCACTGCCTTGTATTACCCTTCTCTAAACCCTGGAGATGGCTACCATGTGTGCCGCCGGAGTGCCGACAACGCTCATGGCAAGAACACACCCTTGTGCACGTTGATTGCCCACCAATCCCTCCACCCTCTCTTATGGACCACCACCTTGTCATGGTGGGGAGCCTTGCGTGGGCTTAAAGACCCTCAGAACTACATCGTTCTGAGTTTTCCTACTCCTGGTAGGGTCCCCCTTGGCAAGCAGGTCTGAGGCAAGGCACCTGACTTACCGTGGTCCAAACTTCACTAAGACCCCAACGGTGGCTTGGGCACATATAGAAGATCTTCCAGTACTGTGCAGCTGTGAAGGAGGATGAGGGCTGCAGCAGGAGTGAGGCCGCTGGTGGTCTTGGATCTCCTTGCGACGGGTCAGGGTTTTCCTCCCGTCAAGTCTCGTGCGGTTACCGCCTGCGCACTGGTTTCCCCACGTTAAACTATTTCACGCGCAGGCCTCTGCCCAAGGCCTCACACCTGTGGTCATGTGTGTGAGTGGCGGAGAAGACAGGCGCCGTGATCTCTGGGAGGCTTTTGTCTCAAATCTGCATGCCATGTGATGGCCGTCTTGCGCTTGGATGAGCCAGAAGTGCATTTCGGCAGCAGCCGCTGTGATGGAGCAGGCCTCTTTTAGGATCTCTTCTGCTCTCCCCAAACGGGCAGGGTTGGCTCCAAGTTTTTTGCTGCCCCAAGCAAAAAACCTCCCCCCCCCCCAGTCCCACCCCAACTCCGCCCCTTCCCTGCCCCATTCCAACCCCTTCCCCAAATCCCCGGCCCCGCCTCCTCCCTCAGGCACGCCGCATTTCCCCTAAGCCTGGGAGGGAGGGGGGAGAAGCAGAGCAGCGGTGCGCTCGGGGGAAGAGGCGGAGGTGAGCTGGGGGGGAGCGGTTCCTCTGCCCCCTCCCCGAGGGTTACTTCCTGCGGCTCTCCCCGCGCCCCCCACCGCCACAGCTCACCTCCGATCAGGGCCAGCTCCCGGCTTTTTGCGCCCCAAGCAAAAAATTAAAATAAAAAGTTGCCGGAGTGCTGCCCCTTGGAAAGCGCCGCCCCAAGCACATGCTTGGAGCGCTGGTGCCTAGAGCCGGCCCTGCAAACGGGGAGGGGGCCAGAAAAGTTGCCCCAAACATCGGCGGTCTCACACTCTTCCAACTGGAGGGCAACATCCAGTGGGATCACTCAACTCCGTGGCTGAAACAAGAGATACAAGACAACGAATGAATGAAACTCTAGTAAAGAACAGAATGATCAAACACAGAGACAAACATGATTTATTGGGAAGAGTCAACATGGCTTTTGTAAAGGGAAATCATGCCTCACCAATCTACTAGAATTCTTTGAGAGGGTCAAACAAATGTGGACAAGGGGAATCCAGTGGATATAGTGTACTTAGATTTTCAGAAAGCCTTTGACAAGGTCCCTCACCAAAGGCTCTTACTTTTCTTAAGTTGTCACGGGATAAGAGGGAAGGTTCTCTCAGGGATCGGTAACTGGTTAAAAGAGAGGAAACAAAGGGTACGAATAAATAGTCACTTTTCAAAATGGAGAGAGGTAAATTGTGGTGCCCCCCAGGGATCTGTACTGGGCCCAATCCTATTCAACATATTCATAAATGATCTGGAAAAACAGGTAAACAGTGAGGTGGCAAAGTTTGCAGAGGATACAAAACTACTCAAGATAGTTAAGTCCCAGGCAGACTGCGAAGAGCTACAAAGAGACCACTCAAAACTGGGTGACTGGGCAACAAAATGGCAGATGAAATTCATTGTTGGTAAATGCAAAGTAATGCACATTGGAAAACCTAATCCCAATTTTACATATAAAATGACGGGGTCTAAATTAGCGGTTACCGCTCAAGAAAGAGATCTTGGAGTCACTGTGGATAGTTCTCTGAAAACATCCACTCAGTGTGCAGCAGCAGTCGAAAAAACCTTTAAGCACAACGTCCTACACATTTGAACATCTGTGGAGCTAGCTTCAGTGTATTGCTACGTCAAAATAGGCTGGGGTTAATACAATAAAAAAAATTGTGAGAAATCTCCTTGAACCCACCTGATGTCCTTTCCCCATGCAGAGTTTCCAGTTTTCACACCTGAAGTGATCTCCTATCTGGAACAAGACAAAGAGCCGTGGGTCCCAGATCTCCATGATTCAGAGGAAAGAGAGATCCTGAGAGGTACCTGCACAAGGGAGGAATCATTCAATCAATTAAAAACCTGGCTGTGTCTGAAGGACACAGCTGGGGTTCCCGACAGAGACCTTGTGAGTTCTCCGAGTTCAGGATTGTCCCCAGCAGGTTTGTATCCTCAGGGCAGAAGTTGCTCATGACTTCCTACCCATCGTGAATGACAGCTGGCAGTAACTCCTTCCTTCACCTCCCTTCCCCCTGAGTGCTTGGACGGGATTTACAGGCAGAATTGATCCCCTTACCTCTGCAGGACAGAATTTGGGGAAATTCAGTCCCTGATTTATGTCCATCTCTCCAGCACTTATTTCGTTGACCACGATGGTGATAGTGACCGTGAAATGCTCAGGGAGATTCAAGAGGCTATACAAATAAAAAACGCAATAATAATGGGGGATTTCAAGTATCCCCATATTGACTGGGTCTATATCACCTCAGGCCGGGATGTAGAGACACCATAAATGACTGTTTCTTGGAGCAGCTGGTCCTGGAACCCACCAGAGCAGAGGCAATTCTTGATTTAGTCCTAAGGTTGAGCACAGGATCTGGTCCAAGAGGGGAATGCAGCTGGACCACTTGGTAATAGCGCCCATAATATAATTAAATTTAACATCCCCGCGGAAGGGGGAAAACACCAAAAACCCCACCATAGTAGCATTTAATTTCAGAAAGGGGACCTACACCAAAATGAGGACGTTAGTTAAACAGAAATTAAAAGGAACAATCTCAAAAGTGAAATCCCTGCAAGCTGCATGGAAGCTTTAAAAAAAAAAACGTAATAGAGGCTCAAATTAAATGTATAGCCCAATTAAAAAACATAGAGGACCAAAATGTGCCACCGGGGCTAAACCCCAAAGTAAAAGAAGTGGTTAGAGGTGTCACGGAGTCTCTGGGCGATGCTCTGGAACTGCTCCCCACAAAGCCAGTCAGGACTTTGGGGAGCCTCCTCTCCCTTGGAGCAGACTGTCTTCAGGGCAAGAAGCTCACACAGCTTCACCTCCTGGGTCTCTCCTGGGAGCATTCAGCATATGCCCCTCCGTGCGCTTCCCACAGCGAGTCCGCCCAGGCAGGGTCCTGGGGAAGCCAGAGGTCCTGCACGCACCCCCACTCTGCAGTCAGACGTGACTCTCAGCCAGCCAGTAAAACAGAGGTTTATTAGATGACAGGAACACTGTCTAAAACAGAGCTTGTAGGTACAGCGGCGAATGGGACCCCTCGGCCGGGTCCATTCTGGGGTTCAGAGAGCCAGACACCCATGTCTGCCCTCACTCCTCGTCTACAGCCAGCTCCAACTCTGAAGCCCCCTCCAGCCCCTCCTTCTCTGGGCTTTGTCTCTTTCCTGGGCCAGGAGGCCACCTGATCTCTTTGTTCACCTTTAGCTATTCCCTTACAGGGGGGGAAGGGGCCACGGCCATTTGTTGCCAGGGAGACAGAGTGCCAGTGATTTATGCACACTGGCCTTTCCTCACCACCTAGAGACTTAAGAAATGCATAGGGGAAACTGAGGCACCCACACAGTATTCAGAGGAAACATTAAGAACAGTCCCACTTTGTCACAAGAGGTAAAAAGGCATCCTTTAAAAATTGGAAGTTAAATCCTACTGAGGAAAAGAGAAAGGAACATAAACAGTAGAAAGCCTATTGCAAAAGTACAATCAGGCAAGTCAAAAAAGATTTTGAAGAGGAACTTGCCAAAGACTCAAAAAGTAACCAGAACAAAATTTGTAAGTAGCACGAAGCTTGCTAAACAAACAGTCGGGCCACTGGACGATCAAATTGCTATAGCAGCATTCAAGGATGATAAGGCCGTTAGAAACTAAATTAATTCTTTGCATCAGTCCTCGCAGCAGAGGATGTGAGGGAGATTCCCAAACCGGAGCCATTCTTTTTAGGTGACAAATGTGAGGAACTGTCCCAGATTTGAGGTATCATTAGAAGAGATTTTGGAACTAACTGACAAATTAACCAGTAATAAATCACCAGGACCAGGTGGTATTCACCCAAGAGTTCTGAAGGAACTCAAATGTGGAATTGCAGAACTACTAACTGTAGTCTGTAACCTATCATTTACATTAGCTTCTGTACCAGATGACTGGAGGATAACTAATGCGACGTCAACATTTATAAAAGGCTCCAGAAGCAATCTTGGCATTTACAAGTCGGTAAGCCTAACTTCAGTACAAGGCAAATTGTTTGAAAGTCTACTAAAGAACAGAATTGTCAGACACATGGATGAACACAATTTGTTGGCGAAGAGTCCACATGGCTTTTGTAAAGGGAAATCACGCCTCACCAATCTATTTGATTTATTTGACGGGGTCAAGCAGTCTGTGGACGAGGGTGAGCCAGTGGATATAGTGTACGTAGATTTTCAGAAAGCCTTTGACAAGGTCCCTCACCAAAGGCTCTTACGCAAAGTAAGCTGTCATGGACTAAGAGGGAAGATCCCCTCATGGATCGGCAACTGGTTAAAAGATAGGAAACAAACTGTTCCCATTGTGTGGTTCTTGGGCAGCCCTCACTGACTTGTAACTCCCTTGATTACAACTTTTCTGCTGGGATTAGTTTGCCTTTTTTTTAATGTCACTAGCAAACAAACAAACATACAGCAAAATTTCATAACTTGATACACACTCGCGATGTTCGTACTTTGACAGAACAGTGTCGTTCAGCAGATCACGACCTTTCCTATGATCTCTTACAAGGCATATTTTGTACAAAACAGATCAGAATGACATGACAGTGGTGAATATGGGAGTTCCCGGGTGCTGCTTGGAGGTAAAAAGTGTCACATTGAGATATAAAGTTATATGTAGAACAAGATCTCTGGATTAACATTTTTTTTTTTAATCTAAAATTTGGGATCTATGAGGAAAACTCAGAGCCAGAATGGTTATTGCATCAAACACCCTAAGGCCTGGGCTACACTAGTGGGGGGGTTCGAACTAAGATATGCAACTTCAGCTACACTATTCACGTAGCTGAAGTCAAAGTATCTTAGTTCAACTTACCTGGCCGTCCTCACAGCAGCGAGTTGACTGCCGCGGCTCCCCCGTCGACGCCACTTTCTTCTCCTGCCGAGGTGGAGTACGGGTGTCGATTAGCTGGATTGATTTATCGCGTCGAGACGAGACGTGATAAATCGATCCCCGATACATCAAACGCTACCCGCCGATCCAGTGGGTAGTATAGACGTACCCTTAGAAAAGGATAGAAAGAGGGAAAACATGTTTTACGTGCCACCCACGTCACTCTAAAATATTCTAGAAGCTGAGGGATCTGGTCTAGAATTTGATGAACAAAACACAAGTTAAAATGTATTAAACTATGGAGGTACATGACTAGACAGCTCAGATGATTAGCAATGGCATAAAGCAGTGATTCTCAAACTTTTGTAGTGGTGACCCCTTTCACACAGCAAGCCTCTGAGTGTGACCCCCCCTTATACATTAAAAACACTTTTTAATATATTTAACACCGTTATAAATGCTGGAGGCAAAGCGGGGTTTGGGGTGGAGGCTGACAGCTTGCGACCCCCCCACATAATAACCTCACGACCCCCTTAGCGGTCCCGACCCCCAGTTTGAGAACCCTTGGCGTAAAGGCACTTTACCTTTAGGTCACCAACTTGTAGGCTTGGCAGAATTTGATTTTTATTAGGGCTGTCAAGCGATTAAAAAAATTAATCGCAATTAATCACGCTGTTAAACAATAATGGAATACCATTTCTTTAAATATTTGTGGATGTTGTCTACTTTTTCAAATATATTGATTTCAATTACGACACAGAATACAAAGTGTACAGTGCTCGCTTTATATTTATTTTTGATTACAAATATTTGCACTGCAAAAAACAAAAGAAATGGTATTTTTCAATTCACCTCATACAAGTACTGTAGTGCAATCTCTTTATCATGAAAGTTGAACTTAAAAATGTAGAATTATGTACAAAAAATAACTATTGAAAAAGAAAACAATGTAAAACTTTAAAGCCCACAAGTCCACTCAGTCCTACTTCAGCCAATCGCTCAGACAAACGAACTTGATTACAATTTGCAGGAGATAATGCTGCCCTCTTCTTGTTTACAATGTCACCTGAAAGTGAGAATCGGCATTTGCATGGCAGTGTTGTAGCTGGCGTTGCAAGGTATTTACATGCCAGATGCACTAAAGATTCATATGTTCTTTCATGCTTCAACCACCATTCCTGAGGACATGCGTACATGGCTGATGATGGGTTCTGCTCGATAACAATCCAAAGCAGTGCAGACTGATGCATGTTCATTTTCATCATCTGAGTCAGATGCCACCAGCAGAAGGTTGATTTTCTTTTTTGGTGGTTCTGGTTCTGTAGTTTCCGCATCTGAGTGTTGCTCTTTGAAGACTTCAGAAAGCATGCTCCACACCTCGTCCCTCTCAGATTCTGGAAGGCACTTCAGATTCTTAAATCTTGGGTCAAGTGCTGTAGCTATTTTTAGAAATCTCACATTGGTAAATTCTTTGCGTTTTGTCAACTCTGCTGTGAAAGTGTTCTTAAAACGAACATGTGCTGGGTCATCATCTGACTGCTATAACATGAAATATATGGCAGAATGCGGGTAAAACAGAGCTGAAGACATATATTTCTCCCCCAAGGAGTTCAGTCACAAATTTAATTAACCCATTATTTTTTAACGAGCATCATTAGCATGTCCTCTGGAATGGTGGCTGAAGTATGAAGGGGCATACGAATGTTTAGCATATCTGGCACATAAATACCTTGCAACGCCTGCTACAAAAGTGCCCTGCGAATGCCTGTTCTGACGTTCAGGTGACATTGTAAATAAGAAGCAGGCAGCAGCATCTCCTGTAAATGTAAACAAGCTTGTTTGTCTTAGCGAGTGGCTGAACAAGAAGTTGGACTGAGTGGACTTGTAGGCTCTAAAGTTTTACATTGTTTTGTTTTGGAGTGCAGTGATGTAATGAACAAAAAAATCTACATTTGTAAGTTCCACTTTCATGATAAAGAGATTGCACTAGAGTACTTGTATGAGGTGAATTGAAAAATACCATTTCTTTTATCATTTTTTACAGTGCAAATATTTATAATAAAAATAATATAAAGTGAGCTCTGTACACCTTGTATTCTGTGTTGTCCTAGAAATCAAAATATTTGAAAATGTTGTGAAAACATCCAAAAATATTTAATAAATTTCAGTTGGTAGTCTAATGTTTAACAGTGCGGTTAATCACAAGTAATATTTTTGAGTTAATCGTGTGAGTTAACTGCAATTGACAGCCCTAATTATTATTTTTATTTTTTCATAATTTCGAATTATTTAAGCTTTTTTTCCCTCAATTTTTATGGTTTTAAGTTTTCAGAATTGTGCAAAATTAAAGGTTTTAGACTTTTTTTTTCAATTTTTATCAATTTACGTTTTCAGTTGCAGAAAATTATGCGGGGACGTCAGACAACAATTCAAAACGTTAAAGCTTTATAACTGATCAAACAAACTGTCACCATCACATGTCAAAATATATACAGTCAGTATCCTTAAACAAAATTCTGCGTTCTCCAACAGCATTTTTCTTATTTTTCCTAGTTGAAATTTTGATTGTTGATGGAAATATTTTTGGTTGGGTTGTGTGTTTGCAGCGAAATTGATATTTATTGATAAAAATCTAATCCTTCCAATCTGAATCCACAGAAGTATGTTCTTAATTTAAAGCACGTGAGTGCTCTCATTGAAACCCTAGGGATTAGGGATTGCCAGAACATGTGGAGCCTTTGGCATTACCTTTTCCACCGCAGCTAATTTGCATCATGGTTTGGTCTCCCCTTTTCCACTCCTGTTTCTGCCAACAGGTGATGGGATGCTGAGGGAGAAGAAGGAGCACCAACCTCCGCAGGAAGATGCTGAGCAAGACGAACCACACGGGGCATTATTGCAAATATCTGAGGAGGATGTGTCCAGGAGTCATGAGCAGAGAGAAGGTTGTCAGAGTCAACACAGGCCAGAGAGGAAGCAGGGAAACAAGCCAAGGGAGAAATTGAATAAATCCATTAATAGTTGGGGACCTCACAAATACGTCAAGGAAACCACAACCCAGCAGAAAATCCAGGCAGGAGCGAGAAACAACACGTGCTCTGATTGTGGGAAAAATTTCAGTAGCCGCTCAGTTCTTCTTAAACATCAGAGGATCCACACAGGGGAAAGACCTTATGAATGCCGTGAGTGTGGGAAAAACTTCACTCAGAGCTCATCCCTTATTAAACATCGGAGAATACACACAGGAGAGAGACCCTATGCGTGCTGTGAGTGTGGGAAAGCCTTCACTCAGAGATCATCCCTCATTACACATCAGAGGATCCACACAGGGGCGCAATCCTATGCATGCTCTGAATGTGGAGAAAGCTTCACTCGGCGCTCAAACCTGATTGTACATCAGCGAATTCACACAGGAGAAAGACCCTACCAATGCTGTGAGTGTGCGAAAAACTTCACCAACAGCTCCTCGCTTATGAAACATCAGAGAATCCATACGGGAGCCAGACCTTATGAATGCCACGAGTGCGGGAAAACCTTCACCCGCAGCTCACACCTCATTGCACATCAGAGAACCCACACGGGAGAGAGACCCTATGAATGCTGCGAGTGCGGGAAAACCTTCACGGATAGCTCAGACCTTATTAAGCATCAGAGAATCCACACGGGAGAGAGACCTTATGAATGCAGTGAGTGCGGGAAAAGCTTCATGGACAGCTCAGACCTAACTAAGCATCAGAGAATCCACACGGGAGAGAGACCTTATGAATGCAGTGAGTGCGGGAAAAGTTTCACTCACAGCTCAGCCCTTATGACACATCAGAGAATCCATACGGGAGAAAGACCCCACGAATGCTGCGAATGCGGGAAAAGCTTCACTCAGAGCTCGGACCTAATTAAACATCAGCGAATCCACACCGGCGAGCGGCCCTATAGATGCGGTGAATGCGGGAAAAGCTTCACTTGGCGCTCGAGCCTAATTACGCATCAGAGATTCCACACAGAAGAGAGACCCTATGGGTGCCGTGAGTGCGGGAAAAAATTCTTTGTCAGCTCAGCGCTTCGGGAACATCAGAGGATCCACATTGGAGCCAGACCTTATCAGTGCGGTGAGTGCGGGAAAAACTTCACTCGCAGCTCGAACCTTATTAGACATCAGAGGCTCCACTTAGCTTAGAGACACTCTAGATGCTCTGAGTGTGGGAAAAGTTTCTATCAGAACTCAGCCCTTACTTATCCCCAGAGAATTTGCAAGGGAAACAAACACAATAAAAACCTTATTTAAGGCTGACCATTTTTTTTTTCCTAATTCCCTCTTAAAGACTTTTTGAACTACATTTGAAACCCAGGTGTAGAGCCAATACTCATAACTTCAAATACAAAAATGATACATGCAGGCCAAGAGCATAATCATATTCAGCAAATCATAACATTTCCATAGAACTCTTACATGCCCCATTGGACAAGATTGGTTGCAAAGATATAACAGTGGTTGCAACAATGATCTATATGGTCATTGTTTAATCAGATAACGTCACAGCCACGTGTAAAAGGATAATCCGGCAGGCCAAAAAAGAATTTGAAGAGCAACTAGCCAAAGACTCAAAAAGTAACAACAATAAAATGTTTAAGCACACCAGAAGCAGGACGCTTGCTAAACAGACGGGGGGCCACTGGCCAATCGAGGTGGTATAGCAGCACTCAAGGATGATAAGGCCATTGTGGAGAAACTAATTTACCGTATATACTCGTTCATAAGCCGAATATTTTTGGTAAAAAAGTGACGCATCAAAGAGCGGGGGTCGGCTTATCAATGGGTCTACACCAAAATTTGAGGATTTGAACTCTATGGAATCATTGAATTGAATATCTAATACATTATCGTTTTGTTTACCTGGAGCGTCTGCAGGCATGGAGCCCCTCAGCTCCCTGTGACCGCGGACTTCCCGCAGCTCACATTGGCTGGGAACGGCGAACCGCGGCCACAGGGAGCTGAGGGGCTCCATGCCTGCAGACGCTCCAAGTTAACAAAATGTCCCGACCCGCCAGCGGCTTACCCTGACGGCCGGGAGACAAAGTTTGCCATCCCCTGAAATATAGGGTCGGCTTATGAAAGAGTCATACAGTTTTTGCTGTTTTTAGCTAACCATCTTGGGGGGGTCGGATTATAAACAAACGAGCTAATGAACGAGTATATACGGTATTTGCATCACGTGGTCTCTCGGGTCCCCTCGGTGAGTTGCCCGATTTTCTCTTTTGTAGCTGGCCCTTCTTTGGAGTGAATCTGGCGCTCCTTTCTATGACCTCCCTTGTTCTATGAGTCTTGGGAGCACGTCTCCCTCCTACCAGGAATGTCCATGAGCTCCAGGGGACATGGGTGACCCAAACTAGCTCCATCGAGATCAAATTACCTGGGCCACGTCTCCACTCGGATTTTTCATGGCTAGCTTGATGTAAAACAACAACTGTTCTTGTGGTAAAGACATAGTTCATGTATAAAGAGTCGCTGGGAGTGTCCCTCATTTCCCATCATCCCAGCAGTGTTTCCTTCTGTCTGAGCTGTGTAGAGTTTATCTTCTTCCCAGTCTATCCCTCCACCTCCTGTTGTTCCCCAAGACACCATGTTCTGAGCTCTCCGTGCTTGGGAACCATGGGTCGATTTCTTTGATCCTAAATCAGTCTCGTTAGGTTTGGAGGTGAAAGAGTCGCAGACCAGAAGGAGAATGTTTAATGGATCATTCTTAGTTTAAACCCCATTTTTTGGTCTATTGGCAAAGCCACTTCCTGTCTTTTTCCTTCTGAGTTGGGATTGTTTTTGGAGGGAAAACTGGCTGTTTTTTCGCATTATGATGATGTTAAAACTTTCCTAAGTCACATGACTCAGTATTTGTGAGACAACATGGAGTGAAGCAGGTTTCGAAGGATGAGAGGAGTAGATGATGGGAGAATCTGTTGTCCTGATTCTGAGTCATCAGGTGTATACTGCTGTGGAATTTAACTTTCTGTGACATCAAAATTGTCTTACAGTTCTGTGAGAGGTGGGTTTCTTTCTCTCTCTCCTGAAGGTGATTGGTTACACAAATGGATATTGTTTTTGTTTGATTGAATGTGACAGATTTACTGGGGACTTTGAGCAAAATGACCACTTGTTAAAATAGTCTCTATTTATTTTCAATTATTATTGTTATTATTATTATTTATTATTTTTGCTTTGCCTATTATCCCATCCTGCCATGATGACGTGGAGAAAATTCAAGTGCAGTTCAGTCAACCCAAGGTAGGGTGACCAGATGTCCCGATATTTAACCCTTTGTGTCCTGATCAATGTACGATCGGGACGCCATTTGTCCCGATATTCAGGTAAGGAGGCGAGCGGGAGGGAGGCGCTGACCCCGTGGGTGCTCTGGGGCTGGAGCACCCACAGGGAAAAATTGCTGCCAAGCTCCTCCCTCCTCACCTCCTTCTCCCCCCCCTCCTCCCAGTGCACTGCGTCCCCACTCCTCCCCCCTCCCAGCGCTTCCCGCCGCCTAACAGCTGTTTGGTGGTGCTTAGTGCTTTCCAGGAGGGATGGGGGAGGAGCGGGGATGTGGCCGTGTTCAGGGGAGGAGGCGGAGAAGAGGCAGGGCAGGGGCGGGGAATTGGGTGGAATGGGGGCGGGGTGAGGGCGGGAAGAGGTGTGGGGTGGGCAAGGGGAAGTCAGCGGCGTAGGGGTGAGTGTGGCCCATGGGGAGGTGAGAGGTGGGTGGGGGACTGAGGTGGGACGCAGCAAGCCAGCAGCAGTTCGGGGGATGAGGAAGGGCGCGGTGGGGAGGGGGGCAAGTGGAGAGGGGGCAGGGCCTGGGGCAGAGTGGGGGTGGAGCCTGGGAGGAGCGGGGGTGGACTGGGCGGGGCCAATGTGTCCCGATATTTTTGTGTGGTGATCTGGTCACCCTAACCTGAGGGAACACTCCAAGCTATCGGCTATGCTAACACAGAAAGAAAACGTAGTGGTTTTGAATTTCCACTCTGAAACTGATCAACAGCACATCCTTAGATGCTATAAACTCTTCATTGAGAACTGTTTAGACTTCCTCTAAGGAGGAAGCTTTGCTTGGCTTTGAGGTTGCAGTTTAAACACGAACAATCATGGGGTTTCAGCATTAAAATTGTTAACAAGCTCAGTGTGGATTACACGGCCTGGGTGAAGTTCTCTGAGGTCTACAACTAAATGGACAGCCGCCTGCTTGGATTCCCGTTTTAGGATTTAGAAGGGTTGATGATCTGTTGTATTAATCTGATCATTTGGCTAAATTGATAACGATTGCAATGCACTAGCATTGTTAACGCATTGATTTACTGGTTTTGATCTTAACGTAAGTGTGTTCACCCAACGGTTAGTTTAGTCATGTATACAGCAGTTTAGTCTTAGTGATGTGTGTTCTTGATTTTGTTTTTTTCAGTTGAATAAAATGTATTAAGGGGAATCTGAAGTCATTTCTTTCAAGAAGCAACATGGGCCGGAACTGCCAAAAATCAGGGTGGAGACCTTGAATTGCCATCTAAATTAACCCTTTGGTTCTCACAGGAGAGCAGCTACAGGGAGCACCTATCTCAGCTTCAGCTGCAACTGGAAGACCTCTGGGCATCACAAGGGAAAATGAGCCCTCCTCCCCCCCCAGGTTTTTGGGAATTGGGTGGGGTAGTGTGGATGAGTGAGGAGGGGTCAGTGAGGTGGGAAGAGTTTCTGAATAGTGGCAGGTGATGGTAGCTTGCTCTGCCGTGTCCATCATGGCTAGGCCAGCCTGTACCCCACTCTGGCTGCCTATACCTAGTCAGGCCCAGCTGATGTTGGGGGCCTTATTTGAAGGGTTGTTAAAGGAGGATAAGAGCCTGTACGGTTCAGCGAATGTGGTGCTGGCAAAGTAAATGCATGTGTGTTAACAGGTCATATCGGGGCATTGCGGGGGGGGAGGCAGAGTTAAGGTTGTGTGGCCAACCTTAACTATGCATTTCCTGGATTTCAAAAGTTTGGATTTTGCTGAAGTTGAGGTTCTGAAAGGAACAACATCTCACCAGGCAAACTCAGGTAGGCATTGACCAAGTTTTTTTGACCTTTAATTAATAGAAGCAGGGGAGGTCCTGCGTGTCAACTGGATATTTAACCAGCTATTAAGGCCTACTGCAGGGCTAGATAGTTGGGAAGAAAACAGTGAAAATGCCCATCAGCAAAGGCTTCCTTAAAACAAATACATCCATGACGGGGTGGATGCCCCTGCTGGGACACCACCTGATCTACTGGGATTTCACTGAGCCACTCTTGCTGCACCGGCCTGGGTTCCCACTCCCTGTTTTGATGAAGTAAGCACTCTGGCCTCTAGAAGCACTCACACACAGGTAGGCCGCACCCAGCTGCACACAGACTCAAGTCACCTCTGTGTGAGAGGACTCCCCCAGCACTCACGTGCACATCCCTTTTGGGAGATAAACCCAAAATAAAACTGTCTTGCGCTGTATAGAAAAATCTGCACAGCGCACGCTCATAAAAATCCACCCTCTTCCTCAATGTGAAGAGAGATGTGCACAACTTCTTCCTCCCCTCCCCAGTTAGAAATGACATAAACTGGGTTTAATAATAAACAAAATAAATGTATTAACTACAAAAGGTGGATTTTAAGTGGTTGAAGCAGCGGTGAAAGTAACTTAAAGGACTTACCAGTACACCGGAGTCCTGAGCGGGGGCGTGGCCTCAACCGGAAGAGGCAGGGTCTTTCAAGATGTAAAGGCCCTGGGGCTCTGGCTGTGGCTGGGAGCCCCAGGGCCTTTAAATCACCCCGGAGCTACCAGCTGCAGAGGTGACTGGGAGACCCGGGGCTCAGGGGCGAATTAAAGGGCCCGGGGCTCTGGCCGCCACGGGCTGCATATAATCATAGAAGGTTAGGTTTGGAAGAGACCTCAGGAGGTCATCTAGTCCAACCCCACTGCTCAAAGCAGGACCAACCCCAACTAAATCATCTCAGCCAGGGCTTTGTCAAGCTGGGCCTTAAAAACCTCTAAGAATGGAGATTCCACCACCTCCCTAGGGAATCCATTCCAGTGCTTCACCACCCTCCCAGTGAAATAGTGTTTCCTAATATCCAACCTAGACTTCCCCCACTGCAACTTGAGACCATTGCTCCTTGTTCTGTCAGCTCCCCTTTTTGCTGCCTCATCAGCTTGGTTATTCCACTTTGCTTTCTCAGTTCCCTTCGTATGAGCTTCTCACTTTTCCCAGATGTATTACTGTGTCACAAGTCTCTGCTAACATTCACATGTATACCAGCTTTTCAGCATGCACTACGGGCTTTCCATCCGCACACTTAATACCTCACTCCTTCCACTTGGGAACCAGTTCACTAGGGATCGGAGGACCCAATCTGAATCTGTAAAAGTGGCTGCCTTCTGCATGTTGTGGGTATTCTCAAAGGCTACTGCTGTAGCAACAATCTTAGCTGCCTGGGTGGAGCCAGCAAGCACTGCCCTTTTAGATTCATAGATTCTAGGACTGGGAGGGACCTCAAGAGGTCATCGAGTCTAGTCCCCTGCCCTCACAGCAGGACCAAATACTGTCTAGACCATCCCTGATAGACATTTATCTAACCTACTCTTAAATATCTCCAGAGATGGAGATTCCACCATCTCCCTAGGCAATTTATTCCAGTGTTTAACCACCCTGACAGGAACTTTTTCCTAATGTCCAACCTAAACCTCCCTTGCTGCAGTTTAAGCCCATTGCTTCTTGTTCTATCCTTAGAGGCTAAGATGAACAAGTTTTCTCCCTCCTCCTCATGACATCCTTTTAGATACCTGAAAACTGCTATCATG